TGATTGTGTGTTTTCCTTGATTATGTCTGCTTTGTTTTGTTTTTGCACAATTGAATGTTGGCGTTAATTTTTTTTCCGTAGATAAAGTTGAACTGTGGTCATAGTTTTTCTCCGTTCCAGCGAACCCGTTTCCTGAACAACAACAAGCCCGTTTTGTAGTTAAGGTGTTTTTTAGAGATAATGCCCCTCTCACAGTACATGAAGTCTGCCTTCACGGAAACCGAGAAAATAACTTACATCGCATTAAAGCAATTATCAGAGAAGCGCGCAGACTGCGAAATTACTATGGAATGCAAAGCTCTGGAATCACATTTTTCGAAAAAAAAGTCAGTTCGTGCACAAATTTGAAAAAGTTTCTCCTTTAAGTTTAATGCAAGAAGTAGATCAGCCGATAACTAGCACAAGCAAAAAGCTGCTCGTAAGTTTTGACTAAGTGGTTAAAACCGGAATGCAGATAGTGAAGGCAGCAAAACATTGTCTACAGCGTGAGAGTCCATTTCATCCTCATGATATATCAGCTGGAATGAAAGGTCAATTATCAAAATATTGTATAAATGATGCCATTATTTTTCAAGTTCTAAGGCATGTAAAGTCTTACTTCTCACCTTTTTCATCGCGAAGGAATCCCCTGAGTACACAAGACGTTGCCGAATTCTTACAAAGTAGTGAGTAGTTAAGTATATAAAACATGCGTCCGTAGCAAAGAGAAAAAGGAAGTAGTTTTTCGAAAGATGTGGATACTGGCTTTGATGAGCTGAGCCAACATGGGAAAGATGAATTGACAGCTGAACCAAAGAGCTTGATAGGAACGGGTCCTTTGTTTCTCAATGAGGAATCAGCAAAGTTCGAAGGAGAGGAGCTTCAGGAGTCTGCGATTAAGGATAACAGCGACAGTGAGACCAAAATTGGTAAAAATGAGCTGACTTTGCGTCATTACCTTAACGTTAGTCCGATTCACGATAATCTGACTGCGAAAAATTCATATAAATTCTCATAAAACAATTGATTTGATATGATAAAACAATGTATATGTTGAATTTGTATAAATTTAGATGGGTTAAGTGTGCAAAACTGTTCAAAAGATGAGTTGAAGCAGCTGAAAAGCGGTATAACAATTATTGATGAAGCACTGTGGGAAGTGCCGGAGACTATCGAAGATTCAAGTCAACAAATACCTGGACCAGTTGAAAGCAATTTGGACGAAAACTGGTGGCATGATAAAAAACTGGTTTATTTTAAACGAGAAATCTGGATAAATGAAAAAGTATCGCTCAGCCGTACTGCATAAATCGACAAAATATTTCTGTTTATCTCTTTGCTTTTAACTTTAATTTGTTCTTTTGAAATTGGTTCATTTGTTAGCTGTTTTAGTTGATTTTTTGTTACAGATTCATTTGGTGGCAATGTTTGTAGTGAGATTCTGTTTTTTTTTGTCTCGTGGAAAAAAGAGAAAAATTTTTGCAAAGCTTAAAGAAAACCTGGCCAGTCGAAAATAAACCCGATAAGTAATACTTATCAGTATGTTGGTCGTCTCTCTTTTTCTTTGGAAAACAAAATTATTAAATTGCCTTTTGTAGAAGTACTTTCGAAAATACGGCCATGAGCAGCATTGAAAAAGAGACTATTTTTGACAATATTTGCACAAATCACAAAATAACAATTTCTCTGTTGATCAGTATCTAAACTGAATTATTCTAATACAATTGTTCATAAAAGCAACTGATGCGATTATTTGTTTCATAAAGAAAGTCGGCGCGAATTGTACGCGAAAGACTGAGTTCCTTGTATTTCAGCAGTTCTGGGGAGAGCATCTGCAATTCGCAGTCAAACATTCGAAGTATTGCTTGCTACTTCTTGATTAGGTCAGTTTTTCATGACCAGTTTTGTTTTGTCTTTCAATAAAACTAAAAAGTTTTGCTGCTTCACCGATTGTTGCCAGATCAAGGTTGACGGAGCTAAGAAAACGCAAAATCCCTAATGAAACTCCAGGTACTCCTGCTAAAATATAAGACAATTTTTAAATGAGTAAATACTGAAAGACGATTTTTTTGGAACTGAATCGTCTGGCCTTCTTGAAACATCAAAAAAGCTTTCTATGTTTCCAGATAAGTCTATGAAAACACAAAAAGCAAAAAAAAATAGTTTTAGCTTAAATATCTCTATAATTTATAAGAGACTTTTTTGAAATAAATGAACGCTCTGGTTCGAACCGAACTGTTTTATTCAAAGCAGAAAGGCTATTCTAAGAATATTTGTGTATCGTTTTTTTTACTTCTGGAGAAATTGAGAGGTTGAAGTACGCGCGTTTCAACCAAGATTCACTGCGATCCGATGTGTTTGAAAACTTGGAGGACGCTGTTCTGGCAGCCGATGCTAAAGTTGGAAAGCTAAGGGCAGCGCATTATTTGTCCAAAGTCCATCACAGGAAGATACCAGAATTGTCATTCCAGGTTATTTTCCAATGGTTTAAAAAATTTTTGTTATGTTTATTTAAGTTTAATTAACTTTTAAACAGGTACCAAGATGCAATGGTTATATTACGACACTATCACAAACCAGATCTTTTTATAACGTTTACCTGTATTTCGTTGTGGTCAGAAATTCAGAGCTGTCTCGATAGATATCAAACGACGGCATCCAGGCCAGATATTGTTGTGAGGTTTTTTCGACTCAAACTGAAGTCGCTGTTGCACGAATTGTTACGCCAAGGTTTCGTACGTTTAAAATTATTCAATCGTTTTGTTCAAGTCTTTTACTTTTTTAGCGTTCCAGAGATTTTCGGAAAAGTTGTGACTTATATACACGTTATCCAGTACCAAAAACGAGGGTTACCTCATGCTCACATCTTGCTTTTGCTGGCAAATCAAGATCGCCTAAGAAATTCATCCGATATTGACAAATGGGTATCAGCAGAAATCCCCGCACCAGCTTTTTTCTTCACTGAAGAAGACAAACAGCGATAAGCTGAGAACTTACGCAGCATCGTTCTTCGATGCATGATTCAGGGACCTTTTGGGTGGCTAAATCGGAGATCGCCTTGTATGGTTGATGGAAAGTGCAGCAAATACTACCCGAATGCAGCATTTATAATAAATGCAGCGTTTATAATAAAGTCTGCACTCTAAGTTGGCGGCCAGTTTTTTTTTGTATCTAAAAAATCAGCAGAAAGTTGAGTTAAAAGCATTCAGAATTTTGAATTGCTAAAAAGCAACTGGAACTTATACTCTCAATAAATTATTTGCTATCAGTTTGGCTGAAAGCTAAAAAAGCCACTGCTGAATTCTGGCAGAGAAAAGTTGTTTTGGCAGTCATTGAAAATGTTAAGAACAATATTTTGTTCAAAAATGCGTCTCTAGCTGCACCGGGTAGCTAGTTAGACTCAACGGCAGAGTTCAATTGAAAATTGTTTGACCGTTTTGATAATGTTATTTTTTTTTGTCATTTATTGTTGTAATTTTTTTTTCGATTAACTTGCATATAGATAGAAGCTCCCCGTAACTCTGTCGCAACCTTCTACGAAAGTTGCTTGTGAATCGGCTACTTTTTCTGCGCATAATCCATGTATTTGATATTTAATTGAGCGAGACATTTTCTGCTGTGCTTAAGCCAAGCTTACATGATTAGGAGTTATACGGTATATCTGCATGCTTTAGTTACTATTTGTTTACATAGCTTTGTTGTGCACATAGGTTTAAGCGCTTATGCTAGCCTGCAGATTTTCATCTACTATCTATTTTGTGCCTAATCGCATTGTGCTTATATAAGCATGCATCTTAGATTTAAATAATGTTTTGCAATTTTCTATTCCAATTTTCTAGGTCGTTTTTGGAAACTAAAATTTAGGCAATTTTGAGTTTTTCATGTGTTGGGTTGTGACGCTTGTTTTAAAGTATTTTCATTTTCGGAGATTGTTATTAATACTTAGGATTTTGTGCTTCAGTTTTTGTTTTGGAAGCTGAAGGCCCTCTTGATTTTGTTTAGTGGTACTGCTGCATGGGCTCAGTCCGGCGTGCTTGGTCTCAACAGCCTGCACCCTGCTCTGCATGTGTTATGGAGGCTATAGGTAGTCTTGTTTTTTATTCAAGCTTTAAGTTGAAAAAAGCTTTGCAGTCTTTTTCTCAAACTGCTTTTTTTCTGCAGTCTTTGCAGTTTCGTTTTCAGATTTTTGCCATTTTTCAAGTTATTTTTCAATATATGTTGCACTCTTTTTTTTGAAAAAAGCTTGGCAGCCATATTATCCTTTAAAAATTAAATAAAAAACCAATTATTTGTTACATTCTTCTATTCCACAAACATCTACTCGGTGTTTTCTCTGTTTCAAGTTATTTTAATAAAGTCACTTATCTGAGCTGTTCAAGAAGTTCAATTGAAAAAAAAAAAAGTTTTTCCGAATCCTGGTTGGTGTCTTGTTAATCATCATATGTATCGGTGATTCAGCTTTGTCTCCCGGTTATTGTTTTGACCTATACTAACGACGCCCTGTATTTTTTTCTTTTTGATTGAAAATTGGTTTTCGCATTTCCGATAAATAAATTCAACCAAGTTTTGATAAGTCATCTTATTTTATTTTGATCTCAATTTTTGGGTACGTTTAATGTCTAAGTCACTATTTGAATTCTATTTCAAGTTTTTCCTGCTCGGAAAGATGATTTTTTGAAGTTATAATTGCAACCTTTCGAAAAAAGTAAAGTAGTTTTTAAACTGTTTCATATCTTTTCGTTTGACTAATTTAACACATTGGTATCAGTATTTTGAGCTATGTAAGAGTGCTTGTCTCGAGGTTTTTGTTAGGGCTTTTTTGATTGTAGAGCAGTTTTTGTTCGAAATCACAAAATCATTTTCACTGATGGATTTTTTTTCAAATGTTTTTCTAGCTTAATATTTAATGAATTGCGATAATCATTTAGTTTGCAGCAATTTCTGCACTGAATCGGGAGTTTTTGTTATTTTATTGGCAGTTACATTGCTAATTCAACTGTAATCTGAACTAAGCGATTTAGGAGGCCTTCATCACTCGCTTGTACCGCCAGAAGAACAGTTCAGGAAGAATATGTGCTTTCAGTGAAGTGCCAACCGCATTTATGGGTACCCACAGTAAGGCTGAACGTGTAATGCGTATGTGCAACCTGAAAAGACTTAACATCTGGCCCCGTTTCCGGAGCTCAATTGCTAAGTGTTTTGACTCGTTGGCTCCGGAAGTGCTGGAGAACCAAACAAAGCTGACTCAAACTATGCTGAAGATTCAGGGGAACATTCTTGAACTTATCAAGGCCTGTTGTAGTGAGATTAAAAGAGAAAACCCTTCATTAGGGGACGAAGAGTTTTCAGTAGACAGTGTTTTGTCGTATGATTTCGAAAGACAAGTGCGAACCATGTTAGATCCAGTCAGTTTTTCTGTGAGTAGAAAGTCGAAGCAGCTCTTGACTGATCTGAAAACATTGCGAAACATTTTGATAAATCTTCTGCAAAGAGACTGCGTGTCCTTTTACCATTTCATAAACGAAATTCGAAAGAATGAAGAGGTCTTCGCAAGCAACACTGGCTGGCTTTTCATGAAAGAGGCGGATAGTTTATTTACTAATGCAAAGCTAAGAGTGTTCGGTTCTGATGCCGATAAAGAAAAGCGAAAAACGCTGGAAGAAAATCCGAAGTGGAGAGCTCTAAAGGAAATCATGAAAGAGATTGACATGGAAAACGAAAAATTGCCAGAGGATCAGAAATCAAAGGGACGAATATTTGTAGGCGTCAGAGACAACAAAACGAGCGAAATGCTACGCCAGTATTTGTACAAAGGGACTCAGTTTTTGGAATATAAACTGAAACAGGCTGAAGAAACAGACGATACGCCTACTGCTTCTAGTCAGGAAAACAAGGATGATTGTAAGCAAAATATTCAATGTGATGTTAAATGTGATAAGTGCATCGTATTTATAATCAGCTGTTAAGCAATTTTTTAATCAATTTTTGTTTGTGGAAGTCACTTGCTTCTCATCAGGCCACGACATAGATCTATTGAAGATCTCACTTAGATTCATGTTTCAGCCTCAAAGAATGAGCTGTCTGCCAAAAACCCGAAGAAAGCCAAAATTCAGACACTGGACAAACAAAGACTTATGTCTGATTTTGTTGCAGATCAGAAGAAAATAGAGGAGGACATTTTGCAAATAATATCGGACGAAGCATTAGTGCAGTGCAACGAAGAACCAATCACCGTGTTCCACTCATATAGATCCTCACACGATTTGATTAGGAACCTCTACCGTCTGTGTCCGCGCTATGTAATCCTGTACGATCCTCAAGTTGATTTTGTCAGGCAAATCGAAGTGTACGCTGCAAGTATTCAGAAACCGATCAAAGTCTATTTCATGGTCTACAAAGACTCCGTTGAAGAGCAGAGTTTCCTCATTTCCTTGCAGAAAGAGAAGCTAGCTTTCGACAAACTAATGCAAGAAAAGGCCTCGATGGGTGCAGTAGACATGGATTCGCATAAACGGGGAACGGTGTCAACTAGGGACCCGTATGAATCAGTGAGCACACGGAAAGCAGGAGGAGCTACTGAAGCAGAGACAGGAGTAGACGAGAACCCACGAGTCATCGTGGATATGCGTAAGCATTTAAATTTACCAAACAGAGTGATAAATTTAAAGCTAACACGTATTGTTGTTCCGACCAATTTTCATCGGTTGAGTCGTATTATATTCTAAATGTTACGTCCCTGCATCGTTCATATCTATGTTCAGGCGAGTTCAGGAGTGATCTGCCTCCCATGTTACACCAGAGGGGTATAGACATTGAGCCAGTGACCTTGGAAGTGGGCGACTATCTGCTGAGTGATGACTTGTGCGTTGAACGGAAGAGCATTGCTGACTTGATTGGTTCTCTCAATTCTGGAAGACTCTATACTCAGGTTACAGAAGTAAAATAAAATATCCTCCAAGTAACTTCAGACATGGGCATATGCAGTAAAAATGGACTTAAATAAATTGGTTAAGGGAACAGTATTTAAAAGTTACGGATCAACTAGATGTTTTCTAAATTAAATGCGCCGGTAAGCACTGGGTTTTGACAGTGGAGAAGGCGCTGGAATAATTTGTTAAATTTTCATCTCAATTACTAGGCTTCTTTTAATAAATCGAAATAGTTGTCTAATTTTAGTTTTGGTGTAATCCAGCCTCCTGGAGTGTCATATGTTTCTAAAACGCAACCTCCAGTATCTCAACAACTTTTAGATTTCTTCACCTGAAGCGATTCAGATTTGTCCTCCTCAATTCAATGAAATATGTTTTTTTTTTTCAGGCGACAGCCATGTGCAGATTGTACAAGAAGCCAATTCTGCTGATTGAGTTTGACCCCTCGAAACCGTTCAACATGTCAGAGAAAGGAAAAATCTCGCAGGACGTTTCATCTAACGACATCCAAACCAGACTGGCTCTTTTAACTGTTCACTTCCCTGCTTTAAAAATTATCTGGTCGGAAGGGGCTCTGCAAACTGCCAATATTTTCGCCGATTTGAAACACAAAAGACCGCAACCTGATGTATCGAAACTACCTGGAATCGAATCTGCAGAATCGTCAATATTTGACGTTTCATTTGACCAAAATTTCAATTTTGCGTCTCGTGATTTGATTAATAAATTGCCTGGATTGACCAGCAAAAGCGAAACTCTGATTTTTGAGAATTTTGAACATTTTCAAGACCTAGCCAATTGCAGTCAGGAGGAAATCAAAGAAAAAACTACGCGCAGTGATGTAGCTGGCAATATTTTTGAGTTTATGAATCACAGCCATAAATCTGCTATTATGGCATCGAAAAATAAAAATGATCACAGAAAAGCCCCAACACGGTTCAGGCCTACGAAGAAATAATTTTGACATCTGAATTGATCTGATTGAATTTGAAATTTGCTTTTTTGTAAATATTTAGATATAATTTATCAAACACATCTATCTCTAACAGGTCTTTTTTAAGTATTGTAAGGCTTTTTACAATTTGCATTGTAAGGCTTTTTAGTCGCAATAAAGTTGACAGCTGAATCGAATTATTACCATAAAAGATGACCGACTAGGTGACCTTGTAAGAAAGCTCGAAATCGAGTTTGGATGTTCCTAGTGAGATTTTTTTTAGATTTTGTGTTTGCACGACAATGTCTGGCGAAGCTGCGAACATTGAAATGCATTCGGAAAGCTTACTTCAAAACTTGTCATGCGCTTCTTGTCACCAAGTACCTTCTCAAAGCCGTGTTTTCCTATCAGAATGTAATCACGTTCTGTGCTCTGACTGTTTGGCACTATTGTCGGAGCGAAATTTGAACGATAGCTCGGTTAATTCAATGTTCGATGCTTGCCCGAAATGCAATCGAAGCTGTGAGTTTTCGGAAAATTATGTTCTAAAAGTCCTTAATGACATGAGACGTGACACTTCTATCAGCGAGAATATTTCATGTGCGAATTGTGAACAAAACTTTCAAGCCGATTCGATGTTTTACTGTGAAACTTGCAAACAGTCTCTCTGCTCGGAATGCAAAATAGCGACACATAGTGCACGCATGTTTGCATCGCACAGTGTAATTCCGAGGAGCAGTTATGGGGCCGTGATCAAATGTTCGAGTCACCCTGACTCGGCCGCGATTATTGCGAACACGGCGCAAAATGAATTCGTTTGTGTGAAATGTTTCTCCGATTTCCCGGACGAGCTAAAGTCTTCTTGTGGCGAAATTTCCAGCACAATTCAGTCAAAATTGTCAGTTTTGTCGCAAGATTTCGATCGCTTACAGACACAAAAAGCAATTGTACAGGGCAGAGTGCTTGAAAATGACGACGAATTTTCAAAGTTTCGAGCAGTTTGCAATGAACGAAAGAAAGTCGTGGCTGATTTCGCTCAAGAGCTGGTAGATGAAGTCCGAAAAGTCGAATATCAGCTCATTTCCGAACTTGATAAAGAAATTGGATCGAAGGAGAAAAGTTTGCAAAGTTCAAAAGAAAAATCGGACAGTTTCATCTCAAATGTGGAGTTACACACCTGTATTTTTGAGCTTGTGAGAACTTCAAATCCTAACTCGGAGTTTTTAAAAATGTGCGCTGAAATGGAGAAAAATTTGAGCGATCTTTCTGATCTGAAAACTGATTGCTTGTCGCACAAACCTGCTACTCATAATTCGTTTTTCGATTATAAAACCCCTTTCAAAAAATTGATGGCAGATATAACGACTGATTCTCAAGCTCAAGCAAGCTGTTTTGAACTAGACTCTTTAAAGTTTCAAAACTTATCATTAATTCGAACTATTTCACAAGACCCAGTTCAGATCCAAAAGCTATTGGATTGGGCTAAACCTGCAAGTCCAATGCTTCGACTATCGGCTCCCGCCAATTTTTCATTGGATTCTCCATCCTTCAACAGATCGCTAAACTCATCGTGTAGTTTATCGAGTGCAAGCCGTGCTAAGTTGTGTCCCGAAGCAGAACAAGCCAGATTAGAAGTGAAGCAGCTACGGAAGCTGTACGAGTCAAACATTAGCAAAGTGCAGTCGCTACAGTTAGATGTCACAAGGCGGAAAGTATATCCTAAAAAGGTCGAAGCTGAACGGTTGTCAAGTGCCATAGAACACTTCAGAAAAAGGGCGGAAGAACTCATTCTGATGATCGGAAATGTCATTGAAAAAGTAGGTTCTAAAGCCCAGAGCTCGCAGCCTGAAAACGACGAAGAAGATTTTGAGTTTACGCGACAAAAGTTAGAAGATTGGCTGAAAGAGTGTAAAGAGTTGCAAGGGAAGCATGAGCAAATGAAGGCAATTTTGAAGAGTATTAAGCCGTATATCCTATCGGTCACTAAGCAGAAAGAGAAGAGCAATACCAGACTCACTCCTGTGGTGCCCTACGACCATCTGGAAGACCTCAAGAGAAGTGTAGTGGTTGACGATTTGGTGCAGGAGCAGAGGATCCAGGCGATTGAAGCCATGTACAAAAGTCAGAGCATGGAAAGATCGACTGTAAACAACTCTGAGATTCAGAAGGAACTTCAGCTGACGAAACAGAAATTGAAGAGAGCAAAGTGTAACCCATCGACATCTTCGCTACAGCTGGGAACTGCAATTGATTGCTGCAGTAGTTCGCAAGATGGTTCCACTGGAGATGCATATGTTGATGATCAGTCAGAACCATCCACCTCAATGCCGTATTCTGTTCAAGATTAAGATTGAATAAATTTTCGATGTTTTTGAATTATAAATGTATATTTATGTTAGAATAAATTACTCGATAAAATGTTTCTTTTCATTTTTTCTAATGATAGTTTTTCTGAAGCTCCGTGAACCCGCCATTGACATTTTATTCTTTTTATAAGACTTCGGTTACTTTAAGTGTTTGTCCGACGTTATGGATCCATCTCATTACAATAACATGTACTCGTATGTTAATCAAGGTCAAGGGGGTCCATCAGGCTACCGGAGTAAAATGATCTCGGGGCGCCAACCAAGAAACCAAGCACCTTACCAAAGGGAACCAGCTAGTGTCAAACTTGAGTCTCCATCAGGATACGATTTAGGGCTAGGGTTGTCGCCACCGTCCAAGTATAACCAGAGTAGAGCTAACAGCTACATGATGCTGCCTGTTGCCTCTGAACAACCCTATCACAAACAACACGAAGTGTATCTGGATCAATATATGGACCAGCAGTCTCCCAGACGTGGAGTTTTTGTAGGACAAAGTACTACTCTGAGTGACTTTTATGGGTTCCCAACCCAGTCAAGTGATATGTATGAAAAAGTGTCTGTCAAGCAAGAGTCCCTGGACTATGCAATACAAATGCAGCCGTCGACATCGTACATATCAAGTAGCAATGAGTTTGACTTGTTTAGTCAAGATTTCAATCAGACGATGAGATACTTGGACAAGGCATACAGCTCGCCAGAGGTATCTGAAGTGTTGTGCTGTACTCAATGCGGTTCTGGCTTCAAAAGCGCAACAAGATTGCAGCAGCATTATGTGAATGTGCATTTTGGGACTCAACAAGCAAAAGAGCAAAAAGGTGGATTTTTGCCTTTTTCGGAGGATCCATTAGCTCAAGATGTGCTGCACAATGCGAAAGAGATGGAGCAGTTACAAAGAATAAACGATATTATGGTCGGCAAAAAGCGAAGTCCTCGAGGTTAAACGGAACTATATTTTTTTTAATATTTAGTCGATTCATCTATTGCTCTTGTTAAGTGTCAATGAACGTTGTGATTTATCACCAATTTTACACCATAAGCGCTATTTCTGTTTGTTTTGTTTTCTGAAAAGTTCAATAGTTTATTCACGAATTTGCTTTTTCGCTGTTTGATTTTTTAATTTTTCGAACTGAATTTTGGCTGTTTTCGTTTCTCGTTGCTTTTTTTAGATTTAGGCGTGCGTCGGCGTTTCGGAAATTCTCATTGCGGTTCAGTTCGGCTTTGAATTGTTCAGCTCTGTTTAATTCGGCTGCTTATTTTATTATAAATTTGGAGATTTTTAATAACCGTGTTTGATTATAACATATGGAGATTAGTAATAATCATGGCAACGTTTACAATATTGGTATAGTACTAATGAGCCAAGTTTGCGACAGCGATTGAAATTCAATTTCTAGTAATGTGACTAAAAGTACAGTTTCGTCTTGTCACAAGTTTCGCGCAAGTAACGAGGCGAGAAACGTCGGTTTTTTAATTCAGGTTCAGTTCTGTAATTAATCAGTCGGTTCGGTTTGGTTATCCGCCGATTTCCTGATAGAATTTTCTACCTTTTTAATCTGCAAAGGTATTAAAACCAACCACTTCACTTATTTTCCGTTCAAAACTTTGTTCACGGGACTCAAGGTTTTTGTGCTATACCCCCAAACGTACTTTATTGTTCTGACCATTTGAAAATTGGGGATGAGCTTTGTATTCGAGTGTGTTTTAATTTTTTCTTTTTTTTCCACACAAATTCAGCAACTACAAATAATCATCAAGGAGAGTGGAGTGATATATCATATAAAAGCCCTTTCAGTTGTGATTCGAACCACATTAAAAAATTTTAAAAAAGTTTTCCCAGTGTCGAGAAAAAAACGTTTTGCAATTTTTGATTTTTCGTCTAAATTCGAGCGAGTAAAGCGAGCGAGCACGATTTTTTATGCTTATTTTAGACCGTTTACAATAGCTTAATTATGCTTGATTTTAATTTTATCCGAGTAAAATTACTTTTTGAAGATTTTTAATGCCATTTTGGGAATCAAAAATTCCTGAACTTTCCGCAAATTTTACATTGATTTTGATTTTCGAGTCTTTTTTCATCAAAAACTGTTGTCATGTTTGCCTCTTTTAATATGACTGTTGAATATGCCAACATTAGATTTTTACATCAGATCCTTTTATCACACCACGCAGAAAATTTTACACAAATTTGAAGAAGAAAATTTTGTTTTGTAGGTTCTTAAGACTGGTCGGATCATACTGTGCTGCTTGACAGCAACCGGCTATCCTTGTAATTAGTAGTTTTAGCTGCTGTTTCCGCCCAATCAGGATGAAAGTAACTTCCATTCTTGAGACGAAACAGGTGCTAAATTGAAAAAAGTTTCTAAATTGTAAAAAAAAAGTTACGAAAGTTTCGTTGTTCGAGTCTCGATTGCTGCTTATTTTTGCCGCCTTAGTTTCCGAAAAAACATGGACTCTTCTTCTGGTTTAGCAAAGCTAATAGTAATTGAAAGTAGTTTTGATTTAATCCTATTATTACCCTTGCCATTAGCATATATTTGGTAACAGAATGGTGGAAAAAGTGATCGTGTTTTAGTGAAGGTAGTCATGTGTAGATGGATTTGTGAAATTTCTTCGTTGAAGCGTTTTAAATGTTATGTTGTCAATCCGTTGCCCTAGTTTATACTGCAATTTGAAATCTTTTCTGTGTTTTGAATGTTGAAGGTTCTGAATCTCCGTAGAGGTCCTGAATCTCCTTAAATTTGTTCCGTTTAGATCATAGATCGTTCGAAATTGATGCAATCATATCTTCTATTTTTTTGCTGATCTGATTTTGACTTGGCTTAATTTCCAAGCAACTAATTTAAGCTATATTTTTCACTGGAGTCTATTTTAGCATGTTGTAGTTTTGGTTCACCGGAAATCTTAACATTTGTTCACTTTTTTAAATTTCTGTTTGTTTTCACAGTTTTAGAATGAGTATTTTCCGAGAATCAGATCACAACATTTTCATAGCCTTGCAGCAGAATTACTGATGTCTCCAATGTTTTTGTGCTCTTAGTTTAACAGTTTGCTTCAGTACTGTAAATACTAATCTTTGATTTGCCCATATGTCTCGGTCTCACTTTTTGGGTTAAGCTACTGCAAGCTGATTAAGGTTCATAAAGAGGAACACTTAACTTGTCATTTTTTTTCGTAATTTTAAGAATAAATTTTTTCGATCGGTTTTGAATCTCATTTTCTGTCATCTAGCAAGCAATGCTACGTTTTTGTTGAATCGGAAGTGTCACACTGCTCTGTTGCTTAAGCTGCGCTCAAACATCTCATCTGATGTTGAAAACTTCTATAGGCGCTTCGGGGTCTTCGGGACGTAATGTGGCACCTCATCAAGTTAAAATACAAGACAGCCATGTGTTACCACTTAACGCATTGATGCCTTCAGTCTACAAGAAGAAGGCTGCTACTCAGCAATCACGCTCTGACACTGTCACGACAACCAAGCCATCTTCGAGAGGAAGAGGACGAAAGCATGACAGACAAGAGATTGATATAAATGATCTGTACGCTTCGTACGGACACCATCACGCCACTGCGGAAGAACGGAGCTCAACTCAGGTACATGCTGGGAAACAAAGTATGACGGTACAGCAACCTTCGGCAGATCAGTTTTTGAATGTGAGTACGTTCGAAGAATTGATCAATCTTGCAGCGACTGAAAATGTGATTCTGGAAGGAACTGTTCCCACCGCAAGCAACGTGGCATCGTCGGAAGTTTTCAACCAGGAGCCGCAACCAGCAGATCCCCAACAGGCCGCTTTCGACGAAAAGAAAGCGCAGTTGGAATTACTAAGCATGGAAGTGGATGATATGTCTGAACAAGAATACAGACGGTGGCTGGATTTGAACTTGAAGTTAAACCCCAACTGTGTCTCATATTTTGCGCTCGATCAAGATCAGTTTCACAAATTGTTGACTCAGTTTTGCAAAGAATTTGTCAAGAAGAATCAAGAGGTTGTCGACAAGGAGAACTCGCAGAGTAAGAAAATTGTGATGTGTTCTCTTGGTATCTTTCGTTTTGTTCAGAAAATTTTAGAAAATTCTAGTGGTTGCCTAATTTTTCAAAATTTATAGAGGTATGATGCGGAATGGATTCTTAATTGTTTAATAGGTTTTACTGACAATAAAGCGGAATTTTCAGCTTCAGAGGATAATTCTAAGAAGTTCATATTTGACCTTGACAAGCAGAAAATGGTCAAGTACAGAAGACGAAAGGTCAAGAAATGTCCTTCTGTTAAGCAGCAAGATAGACTGCTGGATGCTGCCTACAGACATCCAATAGTCTTGTCAGACGTTTGAAACGAGCTGACAAAACAATCTCTTTGAATATACAGCTCAGGCTGCCCACTTGGTCTCTATTTTAGAGACTAGTCTCTAGTCGTCTCTAATTGGTCTCTATTTTTTCAGAAGTCTCTAAATGTCACTATTTTTCACAGATAGTATACAATTGTCGTAATTATGTAGACAAACTCTTGACCCCCTGCCGACCCAAAGGGTCCCCCCTTTGATACTTTTTCAGAAATCCATTTTTGGCCGACCGACCCTAAAATTTTTCTAAAGGCGCCTTCGGCGCCAATATATGCTATTTTTGAGGGGGAGCGCGCGCCATAAAAACTCATTGTTTTGTTAAAATTTTTCAAAAAGTGCCCAAAAACATAAAAATCAATTTGGTCGACCTAAAAAAAAAAAAGGTCGTCAAAATTTTGGAAAATTTTTTGAAAATCCGCCCCCCCCCCCCCTCGAGAAAATCCTAGATCAGGGTTAGTCTCTAAATTTTTCTAAACGAAGTAGGCAGCCTGATACAGCTATGAGAAGATTGCTTGCACGTTTTCTTTCAAAGTGTGTTGCTTTTCTTCTGAAGAGATTATCTTTTTGTTTCAAAGTTTTCCAATAAGACAACAGTTCTCAAATGACTTAGAAATATCATCTATTCTATAAAAAGTTACTCA